ATCGAACAGTTGTAAGTACATGTGACCACCTTGTATTAAATATAAATGGTTTCATTGTATACAATCCCATACTTATAAATATGAATTAAAATTTTATCATTGGTCGATATCATTAATTAATAAATAAAAATAAAATTATATTATAATTATCTTTTAATTGTAAAGGAAATATATATGAACATTCACATTGTCTATTATCTAGAAGGCTAGAAGGCACCAAATGCAGTTAAATTCGTGGTTGATCAAACTTCGAGAGGCCACAAGTACTCTTATAAGGTATTAATCTTGAATCTTAATTAACCAATTGTCAATATTACTTTACAACATTTAAACCATATTTTCATGACAAAATAAATCTATTCTAGTTATTTTTATTTTATAATATTCCCAAAGAGGACTTTTAAAATATGAAAATTGTATGTTATAGATTAAATTTTGGATATCTAAAGCGTTGTAGGATAAGTTCATTTTATGAGCATAACATAAAAAGATCCATTTCTCATAAAGTAATAAACTAAAGTGAGGTTACATTTATAAGTATGAATTAAAATTTATAATTGGTCATATCATTAATTAATAAATAAAATAAATTTATGTTATGACCATTTTTTAATTGTAAAGGCCATAGATCTATATAAGTTACATGATCGACACCTAACTCATTCTTCGACTCTATGACTCTTAAGAAGAATGTGAATATGAGGACTGACAAGCCTCCACTTGCTGTTAAGACCACACATATCTCAAAATTACTTACTTGAGTTGATTGCTATTCTTTTTGTGACAAGAAAGTTGTCTATTGATTCACCCGAAAAGTGTGCTTTAATTTATTTGTTAATTTTATTTTAGAAAAATTTTCCCCATTTTCAAAATTTTACTCTTAAAATACTTTAAAAAAAGAAAGAGTTCGAGAGTTCACTCGAGATTGCTTGATTGAGAAGCAGTCTAGCACTGGGAAATGAGGACAGTGTTGTTGTTAATGGAAAAGTCTAAATTAAAGATTTACGAGAGTTGGTTGCTTGAATCAGAGAAATATCAACCCAAGCGAATCTAGCTAAAATTGTAAACACATAGCTCTAGGAAATTCCAAAAGAGAAAAGGAACAGTGGAAAAGCAGTCCTATTTAAAAAAAAAAATTAAAGAATTCAGAAATTCAAAGGTTTAGAATTTGATAAAGCCTAAGATTAAATGGCATGTTGCTAGAAAATCTATTTCGGAGTTTGATGGCAATCAACGCAAAGAAACATCCTAAGAAAAGCTTCAGTCGAAGACATCTCAAGGATGCTCCAAAAACGCACTGGTGTGCCCTATGACCATTTGGTATAAGGAATATCCAAAAGATTGAGAGATGCTGCAGGTATCTACTTCTTTACCACTCACTTATTCTTCGAAAAATAGAATGTGCCAAACAAAAGTAATTGTAGACACTCAATTTGAAATTGAATAATTTTCTTAACTCGTAAAACCCTAAATTTCAAGAAACTTGTAACTTGGCACCTTGGTCAGCTTCTCAAACCTGAAACCCACCAACTTTAAACTAACCTAATACCCAAACTAGTCATCTTAAGCAGGTCTAAGCCTAACAAATAAAAAATTCACCTGAATACTAATTCGAGACCCAAAAACTTGAAAACTGATACCTTAATTCCTAACCTTTTAGACCCTACTCACTCAAATTGGACCAAATGATTCCATATTGTAGAGGAGTTTGTAAGCATTCTAACAGTCAATAATCGCTCAATTTCTATGTACGGTTTTTAAGTTATGGCCCAAACAAATTTGTTTGTACAAATTCTATTTTGGTCCTGCATACACGGATTTTTCATCTCAAAGATTTTGGAAGCTTCCGGAATCTTTTAAGAGGCAATTTGACTCTGAAATTAACCTTAAAAATCTCTATTCTTAAGGAAATATTTCTTAGAACATGCCAAGATCAAAACCTATATAAACCCCCTAATCCTATAGAGATGGCGAGCCACTTCGATGGGCAATCATCAACAACCTCAAAGTTCAACCTTATTCCCCTTATTACAAGATGTGTGAGTTTTGTGTAAGGTGCCCACCTTATACTATACAAATAAGGTGTATCTATAAATTTTGCCAAAAGATGTAATTCAGGCGTTGGAAAACTTTATGATGGTTTGAAAATATATGTTTAATTCTAATCAAAAATTAAAAATTTCATAAATAATGCAGATTGAATAGCTCTATAAACAATTGAAAATCTTAGAAATAGATAGTCCAAAAAATTTCTTACAAGATGTATTATCTTTAGGCCTTGAAATTTGTTTTTCTTTATATCCATATATCTTGAAGTTTAGATGATCAATTAAAAGGTTTTTCAATTTTTAGAACACTCTTTCCTACTGGAATTTTGAGGTGCGCCTTACTTCTATAGTATAAGGTTGCAACCTTATATATACTTTTTCCTTATGGGATATATCACAAAATCATCATAAAGCAATTTTTGTCAATAATATCCCTTTATTTATCACCACCTTAATTTTGAAAAATATCATCTGAAAATTTGAATGTTTTGAAATCTTATGAAAAATTGAATTTTTTGTTTTGGAATGTTTGAATTAGTTCTGGGTACTGTGTTTGATAACATATATATATATATATAGTATATTATGTTATATTATATTGCATTAATAATACTGATATCAACAAAAACGTTTTGAAAGATTAAGTTCCTACCCTCTCCCCTCCCCCCTTTTGGAACTTAATCTTTCATATTTTAGTAAGGAATGAGAACTTCATTAGAAGATTGCTTTATGAACTTTTAGATGGAAATGGAAATAATGAGTCAAAACCCTGAACTTTTGGAAAATCTTTATAAAAAACAAACGCGCCCTTAGAGAAGTCCTACCTTTATCGAATTTCAAACCCAAATCAGCTTTTCAATTAAACAATCAAAGGAAAGTCCTTAAAAACTTGCACTATTTTGAATTTCCTAGCCCCTAAGCTAATTTAATTGGTTGTAATGTGTTTGTTAATGTCATTTTGTAAAAGATTGGAAAGTGTTTTGGCCATGAATATTTACTTTTACATTTTTTCCATCTTTTTTAGAAAATTTATTTCCATGTTTTTTTAAAAAAATTGAAATTTCCCCTTAACACAAATCAATTTTTTAAAATCCATTTTTTTCAATACTTTTCAACTTCATGTGAATGTGATTTTTTTTTAATCATGCTTTAAGTATATATTTTTATTTTTTTGGATTTGTTTTCTATTTTTTAGTACTTTTTGGACCGGCCAGGACTTGCCCGGTAAGTCCGGTTGAGCTGGCCGGTTTACCGGTTACTTGAACTGGCCTTAGCCGGTTTTTTAGGCCGATTCGATTTTTTGAGCTGATTGTCTTCCCTAGTACCACTTTTTACTTAGGTGGTCTCCAGACCACTTTTTACACTCGATTAGGCACCCAAACACAGATAGTAGTTGGTCTCCATATGCTTTGAAGCTATGCTAACAACTGAACTGTTGGGGCCCCGTAGAGTCTCATGTTTACGAAATGCATGCTAAATACTACCAAAACCCTGGACTACAAATAAAATTAAATGTAGTATTCCGAAAACATTGTTAATATACATCTTTCATTCATCTTTAAACAATTAAAAAAACAGAGAAGATTGTAAGCTTTTTAGAAGCGCTGGATCAGCTTCTCCCTCATATGGAGGGTTAAGAATCATCTTCAAGGGCAAATTGAATGGAGCATTTTTCGAGCTCCAAATCATTAAATTGATTTATGGATGAGTAAATAGAAAAGAATTTCCAGATAGAAGTACTCTCCTTGCGTTTTGGAAGTGGGACCAAATGCAAACCGCAGTCTTACCATTACCACCAAATATTTTCACCTTTTAATGATAAATAGGGCTCTGTGTTAAACCACCTACCTCATTGGACAATATACAATACAATATATTAGGGTGCACTTTCCCATATAAAACTATTAATAAGTTCACATAACACTCTATGATAACAAAAAAAAAAACTCTTATGATAATAAAAGTTACCTTGTGTTTGGCTGCAAATGGAAATGAATCTCTATTTTTTAAAATGAAAATAAATGAACAATTGTTTTACTAGATTTTACAAACTGCATTAAAACTCACTAATGATTGAGGTCCATCTGGCTACCAACTACACCTCCATATCTGACCACTAACTCCTGCATTTGCAACCACCACCTCACCTGGCTCCATCCACCCCACATCCACCATCCCTTCTCCAACCACCATATCAAAACCCATCAAAAAGGAAAATTCCCTATTTTTCTCTCTAAAATCCCCACTATTAGGTTCTCTCTCTACAATATATTTCTCTAGCTTCTCCCCTCTCTCTCCTTGATAGAATGCTTTTAAGACGAATTTATTCTCTCTAAAATCTTTATTGAGTCACATATCCCCTCAAGCTTATCCCCCTATTGGTCGTGCCGGTCCCAAGGGTTCATAAAGGCAGAGGATTATGTTAAGTAGGCAGCATGAAACTTTACCACAACTTTTTATGAATTTTGAATCTAACACGATTCATGTAGCCAACCCCAAATAGCTGGGATAAAGCTCTGATGATGATGATAATGATGATGATAGTGATCTCTCTTCAAGCTTATACTCAATTGACAACATCTTCATTTAGTCGAGGCATTATCGATCATACAGGATGTCCAGTAAGCTTCCACAACTCTTCTACCTGAATTCATGATGATATAAAAACCCTAAAAACCTGTATTCCACTTGATTCTTACACCGATTCTTACAGAAAACAATTCATATGACCAAGCATATAGAGGTAAAAATGTGTTCTCGTTGATTTTCACTAGATAAGAACCATCTACTCAAATCCACACCAGCGAAATCCTAGTTCTGCCGATCCTCACAAGAAACCCATAAATTTGCTTCAATTCGTCACAATGCAAGCACCCAAACATGCCCTTAGAAATGTTGTAAAATTGAAATAAAACATGAATAAAGTTCAATGCATTGCAATTTAACAAAATATGAAGAAGGTATGAATGCCACGTCTTTATTGAGTGAAACATATGGACATTAATTTCATTTATTATTTCGTCACCAAGCTTTATACAAGTGGGATCTCCGTAATATCATGTATTCCTCCCACAACAATATCTCAACTTATTAGATAACTTCATCCATTATAACACACGAACAACTATTATTATTTTGCAGGCGGTCAACCCTTTCCAGTTCACCACCATGGCACCACATCTAAGAGATAAGTGGTTAGAATTATAAGAATTCTATTTTTCTGTACCTGCATCGTCTGCGTACCTGTGGTAGAAGAACTAAACTCTAATATCTGCCAAAAAAAGATGTTACGGACATCAGTCCAAAATATAGGCAGCTTTTAGCATAGTTTAAGCGCATGAGAATCTTCTATCAATAAAAAAGAAATAACAATTGGGTACCTGCATTTTTCAATCAAAAAGTAAGCTTAGCTAAGGAACTCCATTTGTGGGATTTGGTGCTGCTTCTGGCCTCTGACCCGAAACACTTGAATTTTGTCTGACCAATTCGTATGGAGTTTCTTGCTCTTCGTCCTGAATGATATTTACAGAGGTGGAGCAGAGGAAGAAGAAGGATGCTGTGTATATGGAAACATGCCATAAACTGCAATTTCAACAGAAACCACATCACTACTTTGATATGGCATTCATGGGTTTCACTAGATTACAGTGCTCATGAACTCAGACTTAGGCATGGAACCAGGCAGGGCGCTAGTCCGAGTCACAGACCTGGCCAAGTCTGAATCATACTCTGCCGAATCTTTAAGATAACACTAAACATCGGGAACTGGTGAGACAGCTAATTCCCAAGGGTTTTCACTCGACCTGGCAAGGACCCAACTCCCTGATGGGTCCAACTAATGCGGCCAAGTGTGAATAAGAACTCGGCAAGTTTAAAATCCCAGCCAGATCAAGAAGGTTCTGATTTTAAAGCAGGAAATTTGAATAAATAAAAAGTAAATGCATGTTGTAAGTGTATGTGAGCATGAGAGAGAGAGAGAGAGAGAGAGAGAGATGTGAGCACGAGAGAGAGATAGAGAGAGGAGAGATGTGAGCACGAGAGAGAGAGAGAGAGAGAGAGAGAGATGTGAGCAC